TTTGCACCGTTTAGGGACCTCGGAAAATATGCATTACATTTGACTTTGTAGCAAGTTGAGACAATTATATACTGATTTGAGTATTCAGTCTCTTTGTGTATTATGTTTGACTTTATTTCCAATCTTTCAAATATTTCAGCCGTATCTTTAATTTCATTATAATAATACAAATACCATGTGTAAATAAATATTCATCATAAGCCTGACTACTTATACAGATAGGAGTTGAACATGGATTAGTTGATTTTCTTCTACATGTGCTAGTGAAAGTAGTGATTACATGTTTGATCCCTCGTGCTTAGTTCTAAGGAAATGATTTCTTATAATTTTGAATTTCTGAGATACGAATCCATGAGAAGCACAACATATACCATAAACTCGTTCATCACTTCAACAAGCCAACAGTGCATCTCAAAAAATGAAAATTAATACTCCCTTTGTCCTCTTTTCTTTGTCACTTTTGTTATTTTCCGTGTCCAAAAATATTTGTCGCATTTCATATTTTCATAATTATTAAGATACATAAAAAGACTTTTACACTTCAATATTTTTTTTTTTTGTTTTTTTAAGTCATCTTCCTATTTTACCCTAACATTTGCCATAAAATTTGTGTCAACTTTTGACTAATTTAATGTTTTACATTCTTGAATCTCTTACGGTGTGTTTGGATTGAAGGAAATGGAGGGAAAGGAAGGGAAGAGAAATGGAGAGATGGAGTATCTTTCATTTGGATAGCAAATGTGGAAGGGAGGGAAATGGAGGGGAGAGAAATAAAATGATTAAGTTGTAGGAAATTGATCCCTCCAACAACGAAGAGATTTGGAAGGAAAACTCACCATTCTTCCCTTCCCTTCTTTTCCCTTCCCTTCTTTTCCCTCCCTTCCTCTTCTCCTCCCTCCCCTTCTTTTCCATCCCCTTTCTTTAACCAAATAAACTGTTAATTTCTCTTTTCTATGTACTTTAATACCTTTTTTTTTATTGGAAATATCACTTGGGTACTTTTATTATTTTATTGGTTGGAATTTTCACTTTCCTATATACTTTTATTATTTTACAATCTCCACCTTAATTTCCGTGATTTTCTTTCAAAATTGACAAATAAAAAAGGACAAAGAGAGTAATACGAAGTAAAGAATCAAAGTCATGCATATTATTGAAAACAAACATGCATATGGAACATTTGGGAAATGATTAGATAAAATAGAGCCATAAAGGATATCTCGACTAATTGCTTATTTATGTACAATTATGATATTTGTTTATATTGTCTATAAACTTATACGTATAACCAGTTGTACTGTGAAGTGGTCGAAATCTATCACAAGAATTGTGGATCGTGCTCGTGAGGGATCTGAAGTGGAAGTCATGGAGTGGTGGATCTTGTCGTTATAAAAGCTAGGATAACACCAATCAATTGATAAACTTGGTAATAATCATTGGTAGAGGCACTTAAAAAAGTAAAGTTCCAATCACCCATGCGGGTTATGACGCATGTAATGACGATATTATTTTCGTAGTCTAGCAAAGTGGATTGAGATCGATTATAATAAAGTAAAGTAAAGATAAATGGGTCAACCTAAAAAATGGATAGTCGTTGCCCAACTGCTCTCTTCACGTTGGTTTCAAGTAGATATTCAATTTCCACACAACTTGTTTCAACATTTGGCCTAAAATTCTAGAAGAGAATTAAAGTTTACCTTTCATAAATTAATGTTTTGAAGTTGTATTAATGGCTGACCAACTTATTTTTGGTGGCTGCTTGGTGAAAGGAATCACTCATGAAAGCTAGCTAATGTGTGTGGATTTTTAGAATGTAATGAATTTGTTCTGCGTAGTATTAGTGTTTATGAGTGATGAGTTTAGGGCTGTTAGGCCTATGAAGCAATTGTATGAAGCATATAGCTATGGTACTTCATTTTTGTAGAGGTAACGTGCTGTGTCCGTATTCTCGAGGATGGAATAATCATTACTTTGTATTATACTTTTGGGGAACAAAATTTTCATTTAATATTTAGGGAGTTAAGGTAAAATACGATCCCTCAATTTTGGTATTTGTTGCATTTTAGTCCCTTAACTTTCAAATGAGGCAAAATAGTCCCTCAAATACCAATGACTCATTTTCAGGTACAAATTAGCTAACTAATGATTTAGGGACCTTAGTGCACATGTGGCAGTAACTTTAATGATTCTAAATGCAAAGTTTAAGGACCTTTAGCCGATGAGTTGGCATTAATTAAATTAGAAATGAAAATTTAGGGATTTAATTTAAGTTTATGTGACGACTAATCTATTATCTATTACTAAAACAAAACATGTTGACATCATTAAGGGACACACGTCAATTTCTTATTAAAAAATTTTCCGCCTAAACTATTTTTAACATCATCCTTTTTTTTCCTCTTATATTTCAAAATTAAATCAATACAGTGCTTCTTGCAAAATTAATTAATGAGATTATGATTTTTTTTTCAAATAATTGACAACTATTTAAACAAATAAAGGCTACTTAATTCGTGCAACTCACGAGACTAAACTAGTGTAATTACTATAGGCCAAAGTTTAAGGACCTATAGGGACACATGGCGCTCCCATACAAGAGTGATTATCATTTTTTAACCCATAAGTGTTTTTTTTTAAAGAACCCATAAGCTAGTGTTTTTAGTTCAATTAAACTAATTTAATTTCAACAAAACCAATTTAATTTCACTAAAAATTATTTATAAAAATATATAAGTGAGTTAATTTAAGTGTAAATTTATGATCATCACCAATTACTTTCTCTCACTAAAATTTGTTAAAAAATCTCGCTAAAATCTTGATATATACAAAATTTGTTAGTGAAAGAAAAATTCTTTCTTAGTTCTTACTCCGTCAGTTAAATACATTTAGTTAATAATTTTGGGCAATTATTATTTTCTCCTAGAAATTAACACAAGAAAAAAGTAGGAAAAAAAAGGGAAAACCCTAAAAATTGTCACACGTAAAACCCAAAAAAATTCAAAATCATTTTATCATTTAAAACATAAAACACATAATAGAACATTAAACACATAATATTTTTTTGTTTTATTTATTTTTATTTAAATTTATTTTTGTGTGTGAAATGTATAAGGGGTATGTTAAAAGTTAAGATATGAGGATAAGCGTTTGACGAGTTCAGTTGGGATATATTGTACAAAAATTGATTGAAAAAAAAGGTAGGAAGAAAAGGAATGATAAAAAATATATAATGTATCATGATTATCATATTTTATTAGCAATTTTTATTCTTGTCAATTCCTTAATAGATAGATAACTCACTTTATAAATCCCTAAACTTTTGGTTATACTAATTTAATTAATTGACTTGTGATATAACAAGTCCCTAAACTTTTGCTTGAAAAAAAAAGGTGTAGTCCTTAACCTATTTCTGACTCAGCGTTGGAAATTTCTGAACTTTTGCGTAGTTGGCATTGAGATCCCTAAACTTTGCTGACTAGAAAATTCCTCTATTAGAAATGCTGAAGCACGGATGGTTGAGAGACCTTTTTGCCTCATTTCAAAGATGAGGGACTAAATGTGCTATAATTGGCAAAGTAAGAGACTGTATTTTATCTTAACTCGACTTTTAGGGGGACCAAGTAAAACTTTAGTTTGTTATAAAAATAATCTTTACCTTATAACTTTTCAAATTTGAAAATTGAGGCGTGTCGAGACTCCTACTAGTCCACCTTATGTTTCGCTATGTGTATTTTGTTTATACGACCAGGGTTAAGTATTAAACATAAATCTGATGACTAGGGTTGGTTTTTTTTTTTAAAAAAAAAAATTCATATTTGTTATTTTCAAAATTATTAAAAATTAAAGTAAACCTATTAAAATTCGACACGTGGCAAAAAAAAACTTATGAAAACCGGTTACCAAAATAATCCAACCGACCAGGGATTGTTAGAAGAAGATTAGGGTGAAACGTGAAATTGTTTTGGAATTGTAAAAGGTGATATTGTTTTTAGAAGATGGAATAAAAGTGATTATTCATTTTTATTTTTTCTAGAAGAAATTGACCCTGATTTAATTTTTGATCAATAATGATAGAATTTCAATTATTCTTTGAAATTAATGTTTTTCTTCACATGAGCAACAAGAATGTTAATATTGGGGGTTGTACATGCTATTTTGCGGCTAATGAGAGTTGGAAATGCTGTTGAATTATAAATATTCTTAATTTAAGTGGAGAACCACATGAATATAAGAGTTGTTTCATGATTGTTGGTGTTTATATTGGTAAAAATATTGAAGTTAATTTTTTAATTTATAATCCGAAATTGTATTTGATTGTTTATGCATATAAAACAAATGGTAGTATACTGAAGATTTTACTATTAATACTAATTTGAAATTTTCGAATGCGAATTTAATTGAGTGTAATAGTCGCTATAGTGCCCAAAATTAATTAATAAAATATAAAACATTGCATGAAACAAATTATATTAAAGTAATTTATAGTTTAATAAATTATATATAACTATATGTATTGTCTTGTAAAAAAAATGTATCAATTGTACATTATATTGCACATATATTTATATATAGTTATGTATATTGATAGATTACTCAAAAATTCCATATTATTTTGGAAATTTTGATTTTTAATGCCACAAAAAATCAAAAGTGTTTTTTTACACTACAAAAAATATTCAGTGACTTAATTAAACATGTCAATATTTATAAATAAAAATTAATTAATTTTGTAAATGTAATGAAATATCGTGTGGATGACCATTATGCTCCTTATAATATTCCGGAATATTCTAGATATATGGTTTATTCTTATCTAAACATATTTGTGGATGTCCATCTTGTATCACTCCAGAACTTTCCAGAGTTTAGGGTATATATATATACATATATATATATATATATATGTATATATATATATACACCTATATATATATATATATACATACATATATATATATATATATATATATATATATATATATATCATGTGAAAACAAGCCTATGGCTGAAAACTGAAAACGGACAACCAAGGCCGTTAGATTTAATCTAACACTAACTCATCAAATCTCAGCTGTTGAAATTTTTCCCCTCAATTTGCACGTCTTTCTCTCTTTCCTCTATTTTCTCCCTCCTACTTCATTTCCACGTTCTTCTTTCTTTCCTGATTTCTCCTACTTTCTCTCTTCACTTTCTCTCTCTTACTTTCCCAAATCCTCTGCAAATTTCATGCAATTTTTTTTCAAATCTAGCTTCAATTCGTTGCCACTATCATTTTCAATATATCAAGTGAGTAAAACATTTTTAATTTCGCTTTATTTGAGTAATTTAAATCAAATTGATTTTCCGATTTGAAATTTTTGAATTTTGATTTGAATTTCAGTTTCGTCTGTTTCGTTTTGAGCTTCATTTGTGTAATTTTTTGAGTTATTTTTTGTTTGATTTTGTAATTTTCCCTTTTTTCAGGAATTCTTCAATTGTTAGTTTTTGAGCTAGCATGTTATTTTTAGCAAATCAAATTGATTTTTTCGATTTGAATTTTTTGAGTTTAGACTTCAGTTTCAATTTTGTAGGAGTTTTTTAAAATTTATTTTGTTTGATTGTGCTTGATTTTTAGTAAATTAGGTTTTTATGTATATTGGTGATGATTTTGCTGCTAAATTTCGACTATGATATTGATAAATGGTCTGGAAATTTTGTTTTATTGTTTTTCTGCTTTTGATAAGTGTGTTGTATTTTCTTTGTTTATATTTTTATTTTGTCGATTAATTTTGACCGAAAAGCATGTTTGCTTGAATTTTGCGAGAGTTGAATTATTCATTTCTATTGAATTTGCAATTTGACTGTCAACATTTGAGGTGTTACTTAGGTCTAAAATTAATCTTCTAATGAGTAAATTAGGTTTTAGTAAATTAGAAAATCATAGGAATACATGTATTTGTTTTCTTAGTCATAGGAGTACATGTTTAGTATTAATGGCAGAACCTCCATTAGAAGCCTTGCCTTATAATATGTTGTTGTTCATCTCGTCGTCATACTCGTAAATAAATTTTCATGGCTTTGCTCAACAATTGTACTATGTCTTGGTCATTGTATATTTTAATTTGTAATAATTCTGAATGATTTTCTCACTTTTGTTCATTTTTTATTCAATTTTGATTAGATTATGTTAATATGGTGAGAACTAGAGGTGGTGCGACTTTTAAAAAAGGAGAGGCCTTCGAAGCTCAACTGGAGTTACTTTGCAAGATATAGGAGGTATGATGAATGTTTAATTTTTGGATTATTATACCTTAATATTCAATTTTTGGTATTATATGATGTTAATGTATTGGATTATACTACATTACTGTGTCAACTTTTTATTTAGTGATAGTACTAATTTTCATTTAAAAAAAAGTGTTGAAAAATGTGTAATTCTTGATTCGTATATAGGGGTTGAATTGGAGCTAACTAGTAACACCTGTTAATATAATGTTTGAAAAACAAATTTTGAGCAATACTAAAAGCTAACTATGAGTGACTAGAATAGACCTATATTGGAGGCAGCTAATTTTTGAGCAATACTAACTAGTAACACATGTCAATATATCTAGTTGCTTCTGTTATGATAGTCTCCAAATACTGTAGAATATAGGTTCCAATATCAATATAAAGGTTACTATATTAATAGTTTTCTATGTACATGAAAAAGGTCACTATATCAATGACAATGATTATTATTTAAATTATTAGTTTACTATATTATAATTGTTTGATAGATAAAGATGAAGATAAGTGTATATATAATTATATGCTTGTGTGTTTTTGGTATGCTTATTCTTATTCTTATTTATCTTATTTGTTTTGTTAACTTTATAGCATGTGTCAATCTCGATGATGAAGAGGAAGAACATATGGATGCTGATACTAACACAGATAAAGGAAAACAAAGAGAGATTGTTAAAGATGTTGAGTTTGATAAAGATGCTTGGATTAGTAAGTGGCCAGTGAGGCCAAAAAAAGGATTGAAAAAGAAAACTATCACTAAGAAAAAGAATCCTTCTATTGTTGAGAATGCAAATGAAACAATTGATGGGAATGCAAAGGATGCCCAACCTGCTATAGCGGCTTTGTCTGCTGTTATGGAAGGAAATAAGGGGAATGAGGCTTCTTCTTCACATAAGAAGAGAAAGTTGGATGAAAATGAAGGCCGTAAAGTGAAAAAGTGAAGACAAATAAGGATAAGAACATTGTGATTCATAGGCAAGAACCTGCAATCATAGATGGTGATATACATATGTAAGTGCATTTTTTTTTTTTTTTTTTTTTTTGAAGTTTTGTTTAAAACAAAGGTCACTATGCTGTAAAAAGAGGCAACCATATAAAAATAGTCTTTATAAACATATGAAGTTATGTTTTATTAATATCAATCATAGATAGTATATTTAAATATAATACTAGTGACATGCATTCATTTTTACTTCTTTTGTTATATCTTTTAAGCTTGGCAATTCTTTTAATAAATACTTTGGTTTCTTATTCTCTCCTCCTTGTTTTTTTTCTTTTTTTTATTATTCTGTTATTAGGTATTCTGTAACTTTCTTAATGTGATTCTTTCTATGATACTAATTGTTTTTGTTTTTGTATATCTGATCTTATTACAGAGTGCCACGAGGATTTAAAACACGTAGTAGGCCTTTTCATTTAGTAGAGATGATGAACAATTTTTCTGACCATCAAATCAAGGCTGTGAAAGAAATTGGCTTTTGAGGTTTATTATCTTTGAAGGTGAAACGAACTGCAACTGACATGCTATCATGGTTGGTAGATTGTTTTGATCATGGTAGCTGCATGTTTACTATTGATAGTAAAAAGGATTTTCTCATGACTGAATTTGATGTGTATGATGTTTTTTGCCTTCCTTGCAAAACATCTAAGAAAGTTGAAGAAATTTCTCGTTGTGCTAATGTCATCAACCCTGATTATGACTTAAAGGTTAAATGGAGGTCTCATTTTGGTCTCATTGGTGAGAATGATCAGATTCCTTTAGGTTTTTTGGAATCTAAGATCCCTTTACTAATAGATGGCGGGGAAGAATTCAGACAACTTTTTGTTATATGCATGCTTTTTCAAGTTTTTTAGCACCTACGTCCAACAGAACTGTGGATTTGAGGATTGTAAAATGTTTGGTTGATGTTAATCAAATAAGAACTTATGATTGGTCAAAATATGTCTTAGATAGACTCTGTGAAGCTGTGAAGAGCTACAAAGAAGGAAATATAGAATGGTTTTGTGGTTGTGTTTTGATGTTAGAGATTATTTATTTTCATCGGTTGAGGTTTAGGAATGTTGTGTTAAATTCTACAATACCTTTAATTCAACATTGGACCGATGTAGATATAAGAGATAGAATTACAAAAGAAAAGTTGTCCAAGGGTTTTGGGTGTGGCATTCTTGAGTTTGATACATATCCAGTAAGTGAGAAGTTGCAATTTGAGGATGGACAAGTTGTTAATAATCAATTCAAGGAAGCTCCTATGAATCAAACTTCTGGAAAAGAATTTGTTGTTAATGAAGGTGTTCGTAGCAAGGGTGTTATTCACTTTGAGCTACCTGCTAGTTCAATGTCTAATGAGGAAATCCATTCAATCGCTATTGATGTAAGTATTTTTCCCTTTAATTCTTTCTTTCTTTCTATTTTTTTTTTTTTTTTTTTTTTTTGCAAATAACTTTACTAAATCTAAGTGCTACTTTTTTTTTTTTAATAGGAAGTTTATGAAAAGTTTTTGCTCATGAAAAGAGATTTAGAAGTGGTGTCCAACTTTTACATGGAACAATTGAAAGTCTTATTTCAGAAATGTAAACCTCATGATTCTCCCACTTCGATACCTCTAATGTCCCAAAGCGATTTATTCTTTATGGATCCTCGTGTTCATGAGATTGTTGATGAGATTGTATCTCTTGTAACTTGGGTAAGGAAAGTGCCTAATGGTTGGGATGATGTTGGTATTGATATTGATGATAATGGTGCACCTACAAAAGAGATTAATGTTGTAGTTGGTGAAGTTCCAAGGATAGGTTTTGAGCATGTTTTGAGTAATGGAAAATCTAAATGTTCCATTGCTATGGATGTTAGTCTCATTGGTGATAAAGTTGCATATGTATCTCAATACATGAAGTCTAGTAACAAGGATATGAAGATTTTGGATGCAATCGTCCAGGAACTTGTTGACTACTGCATTAGTGATTACCATGTTTTTGATCTCAAGTAAGTCATGTCATGGTTCATTGTGTTATTTATTTTTCAAATTTTTATAATAAGTGACTAGTGCTAATATACGTGTGTATTTTTATTTCCTTGTACAGTGAGGTGTTGGTATCTTTTGGAAAACCATTTGAGATTACAAGGAATGAATTCCTTTCATTAGGTGAACCGACTATTGCTATACCTTGTGGGATTATTGATTGTTGGGCTTTGTTGCTTAATGAAAACCAGAAGAGTAGTGCACATGGACCTCAAAAACTATATTTTGGTGCTTCTCAAAGTGTAAGTATCTTCCGGCTATTCAGTTACTATATCATTTTAAAGGTAGTTGTTCATTATAAAAGATACATAATTAATTTCACTAAGTAATAAACGGTCGCTATGTAATTCAAGTAATCACATGTAAAAATAATAACTCTACCTTTTTTTTTTTAATGTTTACTAATGTTTGATTGATATTTTTTTAGGCTTTTTTATTGGAAGTTGCGAACAAAGATAATAACACACAAGACATTGACAAGCTATTTGACATTTGGTCAAGATGGATGTTCATTCCTTGCAATGATTTTGATCTTGCAAATGTCGAGTTGGTAATACATTGCAAATGTTGACAATCATTTTTCAACTAAGAATTTTTATATTAAGTTTTCCAAGCTTAATAGTTGTTTAATGCAGATTTTTGTTCCTATACTCTTGAGTGAGCACTTCTTCCTAATTGTTGTGAATTTGAAGGAAGAAAAGCTTCAGTTCATTGATAATATGAGTTATGATACTAAGTACATGAGCGAGGTTGAGAAGTTCTCTGATGTTCTGGTAAAAATATGATGTTTTGGATTTTGTTTGTATTTTTCTATTTAGGATATGTCGTATGGAATCTAAAGTATTATTATATTTTGCCTAGAGTGATATGTTGAGTACTTTTCTTGATCAACGCATTCCTCAAAGTAATGACTTGATGAAGAACATGGTTGAGTACACTTTGGAGTCACCTTCTCTAAATTGGAAGTCTAGAAAACAGACTAATGATTGTGGCATTTATACTATGGTCAGCATGCTTCACTTTGATGGAGCTGATGTATTTAACTGCGATGTTTTGAGAACGGTTATTATTCTCTCTTTTTTTTTGGCTTTCAATTTTTATTATATTAACTATTTCCTCCATGGAATTTAACTAGTTTTTTATTCTTATTTTAGGTTGCAATTAGACGGGTATTGAGAGCTCAGATTGCTGCTACTCTGGTATTGTCTGATATGAACATTGTCAGAGATGAAGTTCTTAAAAAGCTATATGAATTCAGATTAATAAGGAGTCAAGTTGCAAGAGATGTTGTTGATGGGAGGAAGAAGAAAACAAAGCAAGGTAAAAAGTTAAAGAATGTATAGGTAGACTAACAAATACGTGGATGAAGTTTTTTGCACAAAAGTAGGAAATCTAATGTAATGATCTAGTTTGCATCAACTACTAGAAACAAGTTTGTATAAGTGCTAATGTAGAACAATACGATATGATTCCAGTTCATACAAAGGTTTTGAATTGGTGGTATTGGTAGCTTTTTTTTGGTTATGTAATCCTTAATTGACATTCAAGAAGTTTAGTGAAATATATATTAGTTATAAACTTGGTGCCTATCTTATAAAAAAAAGGTATCTATGTTATTTAAAAGGTTTCTATATTATAAGGTCAATATTTAATTAAAAAGGTATCTATGTCATTTAAAAAGTTTCTATATTATAAGGTCACTATGTCTTTAAAAAGGTATCTATGATATTTGAAATATTTACATATTTGTTTAAAAAGGAAAAAAGATTTATATGACTTTATATGAGTTAAAATATTAGGGTAACCATATCATTATAACGATAATTATGTCATTATGTAATGTTTAAAAAACAAAGGTCTCTATGTGACGAAAAGGGTTACTATATCAATTTGTACTTTAACTTGACCATAATTTTTTTATTTGGTAACTATATAAGCAAAATGGTATCAATATATTCATTATCCTATTTTGGGTTCATGTAACTAATTGCCAATTTCTATGCGATTCGAAAGGGTCACTCTAAGATGCAAGAGGGTTTCTATTTGAATAAAAAGGTCACTATATAATTAAAGAGGGTTATTATTTGATTAAAAAAGATTTTTACAATAATCTTTCTCTATAGGATTACTATTTGATTAAAAAGGTCACTATATAATTAAAGAGGGTTACAATTAAAAAGATTTCTACAATAATATGTCTCTATTTAAATAAAAAGGTCCTTATGAGTGTCGTAATTATATTAATATATTCTTAAGCTATTCAATTAGTAAATCAATTAAAAGAACGAGCCTCTCTTTTCCTAACTTTTTATTGGCTTAATCTATGTGGGTTGGGGGAGCTGAAAGGGGCTTTAGAAGAATTGTGAAAATGTGATTTTTTTTTTTTTAAACAGTTCCTATGTCATAATAAAAGTCATTATATCAATAAAAAGGTCTCTACGGAACAAGGTCATAATACGATGAAAGGAAGTCACTATGAAATTAAAAACAGATGCTATAATATAATACAAGTTATTATGCCAATATGCCACTACATCAAAATAAAAATATGAAGGTCCCCCTATCAATAAAATTTTAATAATAAAAGGTCCTCCTTATCAATAAAATTTTAACAATAAAAAGGTCCCTGTTTAATATATGTGTAACAATAATAGTCACTGTATCAATAAAAGGGTACTATAGCAATAAAAAGTGTATTATTATGTGTCACTATGTTCTTTCTCTCCTCCCATCTCCTCCATTTCAGTAATAGGCCGTCATGTTTCTTCATGTAAATATGAAGTTGTTTTGCAGCCTTTCTACTCTTCTTTGAAATCCTGAAATAATGTACATGAACATATATAAAATGAAAATCTAGTAGGAAGTAAACATAGTACAAAATTTATTTATTTATATATTTTTTAAAAAAAATACCTCATTCAATTTGGTTTTTTTTTTTTTTGCGGACAATTCCGACTATCATGGTTTGTTCTCTGACCACAAGTTCTACAAAGTCTATCTTTCTTTTGGCTTTCCTCAATAGCAATCTCTTTGTCTGATTTTTTCCTTTTTCCACTACCGCTACCTTTGTTGGAAGACTTGTTTGGAGGAAGAATATCAACAACAATGTCATTAGATCCAACAAATAATTCGATGTGCTTATTTTTTGCTTCACGTTTATCAACTGGACCTTCAGATTCCAAGTCTTTCATCTCATTTTCAAAAGATATTAGCTTAGACAACAATGACTCAAGACATTCAACTTTCTCCTCACAAAGACTTACACATGAAAAAAACCTGTACCATAAATCACCAACTAGCTTTTGCTTCTTATCCTTCTGTGCCCCATCAAGCAAGTTGTTGTTTAAGCCAAATATTGGTTTCTTCATAGCTTCTTTAGTCCAACGATGCAAAACATATTGCCTTGGAATCTCAAATAAGAACTTTCCTTTCATGACAAAGAGAATGTAACGACATAATATTCCAACAGATTCAAACATTCTACAGGAGCAAGAAGCATCATTAGAACACAAAACATATGTGAAATGATAGCTCTTTTTCCTAGTGTTGTCAACAATTCTATATTGCTCAATCCCTTCTTCTTCTTTGATGGTAGCACTACCTATACCACAATTGTACAAAGCATGCTTGAATTCCTTTTGGAATATGTAAAATACATTATGAGTGTAAACTAGTGCAGCATGCTTTTCCAAGTGCAGGGGGGTGACAAGTTGGGGATGTGTAGTTTTCGAAGTAGCATTCAACTTGTCTTGTGTGTGCCTTTGAGCATCAATTGCGGATTCATAGAAAAACCACAACTCAACCAATAACAAATGCTGATTGGTGAAGTTAGTGAAAAAGCTATTTTCACTCCCAGATCTTTGGGTTGACCTTAAAATCTCACCCATAAAAAGGTCACGAAAGTAGGAAGGAATCCACATATTCCTTATATTAAACATATTCTTAAACCAATCATCATTCACTAAATCAAATTCAGAAATCACAGAGTGCCAACCAATTTCAAATTCTTCTGGTTCAAGGTCTCTATTCCACACAACAAAGTTCAGCTTATGAAGAAAGTCAGTTTCTAAGCATAATTTGGGCCCAACCTTTTGTGGCACTTTTCTCATAATGTGCCACATATAAAACCTATGTTTTGCCTTATCAAGAACATTTTTAATTGCCACTTTCATCGTCGGGTCTTGATATGTCATGATACAGGCAGGCTGACAGTTATTCATTGCTTTTAAGAAAGTTTCAAATAACCATTCAAAGGATTCAATATCCTCCTTTTCAAGTAAGCCTATCCCAAAAGTCACACACTTACCATGGTTATCAACACCCGTAAATGGGGAAAAAACCATAGAGTATTTGTTGGTGTCAAATGTTGTATCAAATGTAATCATATCACAGAACAACGAATAATTTTTTCTACTAATTGCATCTGCCCAAAATACTCTTGTCAAGCGTTGATGTTCATCCATACAATGGTCAAAGAAAAAGGCACCTTCACTGTTTTCAGCTTTTTCTTTCAAATTGTTTATAAACATCGAAGCATCTTTCTCTTGTATGTAAGCTTTCAAATCTCGATTAAATTTCTTGAAATCATTCAATGTTGCACCTATATTATCATAGCTACCAAGATGTTCCTTCATCAACTTATAAGACTTGTTTGGACCAATGTTCAATTTAGAGTTGTCAAAAATAAATTTTTTTTGGCCAAGATTAAGGTTTCCAACATTTGCCAAAAAATTCATTGTGTTGGGAGAAGCAAGATTGTGGCTATGAGATTCATGAAATGCATAAACCATCCATTTTCCATCTGAACGTTCCCTAATCCCAATCATTGCATTACATCCAACACGATTTATGGTTCTTTTTCTAGCTTTAGGCTTTCCCTCTTTCTTAGCAACTCTACCTTTTGTTTCACCATCCTTCGTAAACCCTTGTTTATTACAATATAAATATTTCAAGTATACTTCATCAGTAGCCTGAGTTCTCTTTTCAGTACCTAGTCTTACCACAAACCCACAAAATCTAGCATATTGCTTATAAAACTCAAAACCTTTAAGTAAGGAATCAAAAGGCATACCAATTGTAGGCTTTAGTTCAGGGGGACAGCATGGTATGAACTCTTTTGTTCCTCTAGGAGTGTAACACACACTTGGGCCCTTTAGTGACGGCAAGTTTTCAGCAACATTGGTAGTTGTAGATGTATTTGAGCAACTACCTTCTTCTGATTCCTCTTCCATTATCTGCATATAATATCAAATATTATGGTAAAAAATGGGTACTGTAATAAAATAAATATGATCCATTCCATGGTGCAACTAACTGAGCACAAACAAAACAATCTACAATATATGGTTATGGTATCATAAAAAAGGGTAACTATATAGTATTGAGCAAGGTGATAGTCATTCAAGCAAATACACAAACACCTTAAGTGCAACAATTTCTCCTAGTAATTAATGTCATATATCCAAGTTAAAAAACTTCAATACATGAAAAAAAATATTTATATTGCAAATTATATTGGTTGAATTGTTACAAAAAAAAAAAAAAAAAAAAAAAAAAAAAAAAAAAAGAGCATGTTAGAAACTAAAGAAAGTTTTCCTCCAAAAAAAAGAAACTAAAAACAGAGCAAATAAAGTCATTCAAGCAAAATCACAAACACCTTATGTGCAACAATAGAAACCTTCACAGATAAAATGATTGAAACTTGTAACCAGAAAAATCAAGGAAATAATATCAAAATAGAATATTTATATGAAAAAAAAGAACATGATACAAACTTAAATTCATGAAAAACGAAAAAAATCAAACATGATACAGTGATAGTGATTTTTTTAATTGATATAGAATTGAAAAGAAACGAATTGGATGAAAAAAAATACCTCAAAATCCATTCGTCAATGTGATTTAACAGTTCGTGAATTGAGAATTTTTCGTGGAAATTTTGATAATTAATCAATTAATTTTTCACAAAAATAAATTTGGGGGAAAAGGTCATGTTAGCTGCTCAAGACAATAAGCTTAGGTAAATCCCTTTGAAATTTCTTGGTTGTGTTTCAGCCGTCAGATAATTTCATTAATCATCAACGGTTGAGATTTGTTGTTTTCAGTTTTCAGCTTAGGCCATGTTTTCAGCGGAACCCCATATATATACTGTTATGAAAATATCTATTGTGGATGACTATTATCCCATGTATTATCTAGAATACTCTAGAGTTGGGTATTTGGTTTTATCCGTTGATTGAACCGTAGGTAATGTACATGTATATATATTCCGTACTAGATGTAATATAAAATACAACGTAACAATCTTCCCTCATCTCTCTATATTTTTCTCTTCCATATTTTAACATGTTATCAGGCACATAACAAGGGAAATGCGTCAACAAGAAAAAAAAAGTATAAAGAAAATTAAATCATTGCAATCATCTATCATGTTAGTTTACTTTGTATTATGATCAATTTTTTTGAATGCTTAATTTGTTGATCGTTTATCCAAATATGCGTTT